GGTCGGAGCGAATGCAAGCTTAGTCGATTGTTCCCTCTCCCAGTTGCTGGAGGTAAATGAAATTGTCTAGAAGGGCTAGCGCTGCCATATACAGAATGAAAAAGTCAATTTTAATAGAGCATATAATTACCTTTCATGGTGATGAGGACCACTGGTTTAGAGCAAACCACTGAAGGGACAACTGGACATCCACAAATAGTTTGTGGCAGCTCCAATGGCAGAGGCTTCACTAAAGAATATTAAACGCTTTAGAAATCATAATCATATAATAGACAACAATTACATGACATAAGATGCACTGCTTACTATGATGCTGGTGGGTGAGCTCTTCCCCAATCACAGTGGATGGCGGAATGGGGGAGAAAAAACCATTCATTGAGCACCTATTGTGCAGGGCATATCGCCGATGGCACTCCAGGTCGCAGGCCCCACAGAAATATTGGAGTGGCAGGCAATCCCTGCACCTTATGACTGCCTCACTGTTGTGGCAGTGCTGGCAAAAAGCGCGGCACGCACCTCTCCAATTTTAAATAATTTTCTAAAAGCTGCGGGCCTTGCCTCCTCCCACTTCTGGCTACTGATATGTTGTTGAGTTGCCCAGTCCTGCTGCTCAACATTCGTCAGGTCTTGTTCAATGACTGGCTCCTCCAGCAGCTGAATCAAATTGTCCAGCTCGGTATCTATTTATAGGCGAATAAATAGTTATGCGCCATTCTAAATTCTTCACATGGTAAAAAGGCAATACAGTGCAGTTGGTTTAGTTTAATACACAACAATAAACAATTGTGTTGGGAATCACTTCACCTTACAATCGCCATTCTCACTCACCAGTGTCAATCTGTGGGATGCATCTGTGGGATGCATGTTTCCCTTTTTTTGTTACGCCTGAAGCTGAATAAAACCAACTGCTGTGAGACATCACTCAAAACATAAAACTCACTGAATAAAACCAACTGCAGTGAGACATCACTCAAAACATTAAACTCGCAAACTCACGCAATACCTTGGCTGGTAGATGGACGGGATCTCTGGGACACGATCCTGCCCATGGCATCCCTCTGTCGCCAGGTGAATTTTGGTTTGACTTTTTTTCTTTTCTACAATTAAAAAAAAAAAAAAAAAAAAGTAGCTCATGACAATTTGCCTCAAACTACAATGTTGAGAACTGACAATTTCTATTGTGGATACATTACCTTAGGTGGCTTGATTTTTCGCAACAGTGAAGAGGACTCCTGAAGCAGGACTTTCAGACGGTCCGCTTCGGAACTGGTTTTGGAACTCATGGCATGCAAACAGGTGTGGGGGTAAATAAGTCAGTAGATCTGAGGAGTAGAGTGTTGGGTGCTCTGAATTGTACACAAATGCTATTAGGAGCTGCCCACAATATATGATGCCAAAGTCAAAGTCAGCTTTATTGTCAATTTTTTCACATGTACCTGACATACCAAAGGACAGGCACACCAGATAAAAAAATATATTCCTTAACACTGAAAGTAAACATTGAAGTGAACAACAGATAAGGACACTCACTAATAGTAAGCAATAACATATAAGAGTCTACTATGTATATGTAAGAAGTAGTACGATATGTGATATATAACCCCGAAATTTTGAAAAAAAAAATTCAATGTTGTTTTTCGCGAGTTGCGTCTCTGCGACTTGCGCCTGGAATTCCCATGCCTGGTCACATATGTTTATGTATAAGTTAGGTAATTGTAGTGTAAAGGTGTGTGCAGTAACAGTAAACATCAATATGTATGTAGTACAGCAGTAGTGCAAAGAGACAGTTAATCTAGTACCACAGTACCTTTTTGCACATGCTGCAAAGTGAAAAAAGGCCAATATCTGCGGAAAATGTATCAGGGGTTTTTCAAAGCTATTACCAGGTGGCAGAGCAGATACTGCACTTATGGTTAGTGCAAAAAAGGCATGCAGATACTGCGTTTTGATTTTGTAAGGCAGCGATCTAATCAGAGATCAAATATAATAATTTGTTCATAGCAAGGTGGTCTCAACTCAAAGTATGCAACATTTGGTGCATTTAGGTGCGCTAAAAACAAATCATAATAAAAACACTGTCAAATGCATGGAATATAACGAATATTTACATTGCACCAAATGCACAATCATGTTTTCCCCCAAAAAATTAGTTTAAAATGAGTGGGAAAAGCTACACGTTTAGCCATTTAGCCTTTGTGATTAGGCTTCCATAATGTTGTGCTTATTTTCATGTACCTGCTCAACCAAAATATCCATAATATACTCGTCAAAATAGATGATCTAATCAGTGATAGCCTACTAAACGTAAGCCTACTAACCTCGTCCTTGTTACTTACATCAATTGCTTTATTCAGCTTTGCTCTGCTTTATTCTGTCAGTGGTCTAAGCCCTTTTAGCCCAGCCAAAATAAACAGACCAATCTAGGTCCCTTTTTAGCTTGCTTGCATTCCAGCCCAATGCTAATTGTAATAGCCCCATGCCTAACACGGTTCTTTTACATAAGATAAGATGTGGTAGCTACTCAATCTAGTTGCTGTGCTAATAAAGTGCTAACAAATCTGCCGGAGAAACCACCTTCGCAAACACAAACCATGATGATTCATGGCTCATGATTTAATTTGACACGAGAAATCTATGATATAATTTATCTACGTTTCAAAATTGTAGTCATTCATGAAATGGAAAACAATCATTTACCCAATGTCAGTACAGTTAAATCTATTAGGCCGTACGGTCAACCCCGAAAAGTAGTCCTTCAGAAAACGAATCTCGCTCCGACGTTTGGTAACTACACGAACTTTAGCTCATAAAAAGGAACGAGTTATGTTAAGCTTACAGCTAAAAGTTCACGCACGAAAACCCGCGGCAATCATTTGTGCCGAGGCATTTTATGTTAGGACTAGCTTTGTCTGAGCGTAATAAGATCACAATGTTTGTAGGCTTCAGCTAAATCTCGGCACTCACCCCTCAACCCGAGCCACACGATGGTAATCTAATATGGCGGAAAGACCGTGAATAAAAAAGTTGGTTGGGGGGCGTGGTTAACCATACCTTAATTCGTACAGCCTTGTACGAATTAAGGGGACACGACTTTTCGTACGTGGTTTTACGACCATGGCTTTGTGATCGCGTTGGCATATTGAAGTGGAGAGTAAACCAGACTCGACGCATCTCCGTCTCTTGTCTCCTCATTTATTGCACTCCACAATTGGTGACCCCGACGCGAGTTGGATACGGCCGAATCATGTCACACAAAGACGGTGGTGAAAATGCTGCTGCTGCGGCGCCGGGCCGCTGCTAGCGGCACGGCTAATGTCGGCGCTATCTACGCTGCCACCATCAAGTTACCAGACTTTTGGCAGCACAACCCACGGCCGTGGTTTCAACAAATCGAGGCCCAGTTCCAGCTGAGAGTAATAACACAGGACGTTACGAAGTATTATGCCTCGACGACAGCCAGGGCTATGGCGCTGTTAGAGGCTCCTCCAGTTGACGGCAAGTACGACGCACTCAAAACATTCCTGTTGAACCTCTTTGAACTGTCAGAGCTGGAGAAAGCAGACCGCCTGCTGTCCCTGAACGGCCTTGGTGACGGCAAGCCGTCCGAGTTAATGGAGAGGATGCTGGCTGTGCTGGACTCGGCCGATCCCTCATTCCTCTTCGCCCACATTTTCCTGCAGCAGCTTCCAGCACCCGTGCGCACCGCACTGGCCAGTTTTCCCCTCCCTTCCTCCAAAGACTACCGGGCGCTGGCTGTGGAGGCAGAAATGGATGTCCCCAAGACAGCAGTCATCACACACTTTGGCCTTTTCGAATTCCTATGGATGCCTTTTGGCCTCAAGGGTGCAGCGCAGACGTTTCAGCGCCTCATGGACTCTGTGCTGCGGGACGTGCCGTTCCTGTTCGTTTACTTGGACGACATTCTCGTGGCCAGCGCGTCTGCTGACGATCACCTGACGCATCTCCGGCAGCTGTTCCGCCGGCTCAGTGAGCATGGTCTCATCATCAACCCGGCCAAGTGCGAGTTTGGCCGGTCGTCCATCACCTTCCTCGGCCACCATGTCACCCCGCAGGGGGCCGTCCCTCTCCCTGCCAAGGTGGACGCCGTCGCCAGTTTACCACGCCCACGCACTGTGAAGTCCCTGCAGGAGTTCCTGGGCATGGTGAACTTCTACAACCGTTTCCTTCCCCATGTGGCCCAACTCATGCGACCCTTGTACGACGCCTTGCGGGGCAGGAGGCCGGCGGATGTGTTGGATTGGTCCCCAGAGATGACTGATGCCTTTGATGCGGCCAAATCCGCGCTGGCCAACGCTGCTCTGCTGGCGCACCCGTCTCCGACAACCCCAGTTGCTCTTACTACGGATGCCTCTGATTATGCCGTGGGGGCTGTGTGTGAACGTGTATGAACATGTATGGTGTAATGGTGAGCACTCTGGACTTTGAATCCAGTGATCCGAGTTCAAATCTCGGTGAAACCTAGTTTCACTTTGCCTGTCTGACAACATCTCTAGACACTGATGGACTTCTTCCTTGATTATGTTCTGCCTACATTTGAACCATAGTTCAGTTGCACTTTTATATTATCTAGATCACATTCAATACACTTGCTATTATTTTGCACATAGTACCAACTTTGTCTGAATCCCATCCTCATGGATTGCTCAGTTTATGGCTGTGCCTTCCATTTAGAAAATGTTGTATATCATAGACAATGTTATGTCTTGTGGATGTCCTTTACCACAGAAAGTCCGGCCACCCAATTTTCAAAGTACTAAATAGCTGTGGCATTGTTAAAAAGAAAAAAAAATGCATTGGCTGGGAATCGAACCCGGGTCAACTGCTTGGAAGGCAGCTATGCTCACCACTATACCACCAATGCCACCATTGCTTAACACATGAATTCACCACATTTTCAGAATCGTTGCTGCAGTTCACTGTCGTCCAGGTTTGACAAATGGTTACTATGAATCCACTATTTACAAAACTCCCAATGTAGCGGTTTCTATGGTATAATGGTGAGCACTCTGGACTTTGAATCCAGTGATCCGAGTTCAAGTCTCGGTGGAACTTTGTTTCACTTTGCCTGTCCGACAACATCTCTAGTCACTGAGGGACTTCATCCTTCATAATGTTCTGCCTACATTTGAAGCATAGTTCAGTTGCACTTTTATATTTTCTAGATCACATTCAATACATTATTTTGCACATAGTACCAACTTTGTTTGAATCCCATCCTCATGAATTGCACAGTTTATGGCTGTGCCTTCCATTTAGAAAATGTTGTATATCATAGGCAATGTTATGTCTTGTGGATGTCCTTTAACACAGAAAGTCCAGCCACCCAATTTTCAAAGTACTAAATAGCCATGGCATTGTTAAAAAGAGAGACCTGCAATGGCTGGGAATGAAACCTGGGTCAACTGCTTGGAAGGCAGCTATGCTACCATGAATTCACCAAAATTTCAGAATCGCTACAGTTCACTGTCGTCGAGGTTTGACATGTGGTGACTATGAAGACACTGTTTACGTACAAGCCAATGTAACAGGTTCCATGGTGTAATGGTGAGCACTCTGGACTTTGAATCCAGTGATCCGAGTTCAAATCTCGGTGGAACCTAGTTTCACTTTGACTGTCCGACTACATCTCTAGACACTGAGGGACTGCCTCCTTCATAATGTTCTGCCTACATTTGAACCATAGTTCAGTTGCACTTTTATATTTTCTAGATCACATTCAATACACTTGCTATTATTTTGCACATAGTACCAACTTTGTTTGAATCCCATCCTCATGGATTGCTCAGTTTATGGCTGTGCCTTCCATTTAGAAAATGTTGTATATCATAGACAATGTTATGTCTTGTGGATGTCCTTTACCACAGAAAGTCCGGCCACCCAATTTTGAAAGTAATTAATAGCTATGGCATTGTTAAAAAGAGATACCTGCAAGGGCTGGGAATGAAACCTGGGTCAACTGCTTGGAAGGCAGCTATGCTACCATGAATTCACCCAAATTTCAGAATCGCTACAGTTCACTGTCGTCGAGGTTTGACATGTGGTGACTATGAAGACACTGTTTACATACAAGCCAATATAACAGGTTCCATGGTGTAATGGTGAGCACTCTGGACTTTGAATCCAGTGATCCGAGTTCAAATCTCGGTGGAACCTAGTTTCACTTTGACTGTCCGACTACATCTCTAGACACTGAGGGACTGCCTCCTTCATAATGTTCTGCCTACATTTGAACCATAGTTCAGTTGCACTTTTATATTTTCTAGATCACATTCAATACATTATTTTGCACATAGTACCAACTTTGTTTGAATCCCATCCTCATGGATTGCACAGTTTATGGTGTTGGAATATTTTGTGATAGATTCAGAGGTTTCCACACTAAACTAAGAATCGGAATAAGGATTGTCGGATTCGATGATTAATAATATAAGCAATTATCTTTATTCAGTTAATGATACAGAACAGAGAATACAGCCTAAGTCCCTAGTCCCTAACTGTACGTTCACACCAAAAGCGTCTTGCGCTGCAAAGACGCTTTGACGCTCAAAAAGATTCGCTGCGAATATTTTTGTTCGCTTTTGACGCTCAAGACGCTCAATGACGTACAATTAAATTATGCAGACGCATTTAAAGGAGCCGTATGCTTTTAGACAGCCATATCAAAGAGTGAACTCCCACACACTTTGGCCATATTGCAGAGACGGTTTTGCTTGTTGGATAAACGATAGTCGCACATCCCTCGTAACTACGCCGTGAAGGTGAACCCTCCCGGACTCCGCTATTAACATGAACCGCTCCGCCGGAGGAGCCACATCCACACGCACCGGACACCACAATACACACACACATGTTTTACATTTGATTGCTTTTAATAAAGTTGTGTGCAGTTATACGGTAAATACGATTAAGTGTCCAATGTCTCCTACCTGGTCCAGAACCGCTTGGTCCATGCCGTTAATGGGCGGCCCGCTTCGTGCGTGTGTTTGTAAAAATGATAATTAAGCTGATTATTACGGTATTGTCTCTGAAATAAAAAAGACTTGGATCGTACAACACCGGGTGCCCCGCCACAGCCGCGATTATCTTTTCCGTCGACATTTTACAGTAGGAACCAACAAAGTACAGTAGGAACCAAAGTGCCGGTGTTCCCCGGGACCCACCCAACCGGAGAGCGTCTACATTCAGATTGGCTGTCAGTTTTTGCCGCTGAAACGCGTCATAGTCATTTGCATAAAGTTAAACTGTCTTCAACTTTTTTTTGAGGCTCTGGACGCTCAACTTTTGACGCTGGAAGCGTTGGACGATTGTGACGCTTTGGACGCTCTTGCCCATAGAAAGTGAATGACTTCCGGCGTCTTTGCAGCGCAAGACGCTTTTGGTGTGAACGTACAGTAACAGTACTGGACCTATTTCTCGATAGATGGTTCCGTAGCTGCGTCTCGCGAACGAGAGTTCACTACAGGAGTCTGGTGAGAGATAGGATGGAGATAACAGGAAGTAAAAAGGTTTTATACTGCCTAAAGGTGTCTTTTCTGCCTGCGAGCCTCGGAGACAACAATACTGGTGTATGATTGGTTTGTGCCATCTAGGCGTCCAGGTGCTTCCTGAGCCCCACAGCACAAACTCAGACATACGAGTCAAACATCCTGCTCAAACTGTCTGTCACCTGTATGAACTTTAGAAATGCGTCTATATTCTTGGTACTGCATCTATTTGTGGATCCGTCTACGTCTAGATTCTTGGTAACACAACCAGAGGTGTGACATTTTTTAAGCGAGTCCCTACTCTAACTCTACAGCTAGTGGTTAAACTGTTAGAACTAGGGGCAATGTTAACTATTAGGCTTAGAGGCATTATTAAAATTTCGATATAAAAAACATAACAATGTATAAAAATAGTAATGCAAGAAAAATAGCAATGTTAATACAGTTCCTTTTTTTTTTTTACTCTCCCCGGGCCAACGACCAGGATCCGGGTAGTCCGCGATTCCTGAGTACAATCGAGGCCTCGGGGAGACGAACAATACATATGTTATCACACATCAAACAGCATAAAAGGACATATATATGTGGTTTTCGATATAACCCTCTCAAGTCATCTTCTGATGACTTCCACACAGAAAACACATATGTCAAGCATCTTATCATTATACTTAAGAGTATTAAAAAAGTATTAAAAGCGTTAAAAAGTATTAAAAGTATTAAAAATATTAAAAGTATTAAAAAGTATTAAAAATATTAAAAAGTATTAAAAACATTAAAAGTATTAAAAAGTATTAAAAATATTAAAGTATTAAAAAGTATTAAAAATATTAAAAGTATTAAAAAGTAAAATGCTAGCAAAACCTTCAAACTTGTCATTCACGTTGTGAGTACAGCGACGCTGTTTTCTAGGAAGACCTTCCTAACTCAGAGCTTAAAACCTTCTTATCTGTCTTGTTGATAGCACATGAGCAAAAGTTACACAATAGGGATAGAGCAGGTACCACTGGTCTGTAAGATACGCCATCTCGTGGCCGTTTATTACACCAGACCAGAGTCCTTGAAAACAGCACAGTCCTCATCATCTGACTTATTGTCCCCTCCCTCATACTGGAGCAGCGCCATCTGGGCTACTCTCTCACTGAGCTGTTCTTTGCGGAGGGTGGTTTCGATGAGACGAGTGCATAGGGTACGAGCACATGGGATGCAACAGCACCCGCATGTGATTAGAATCGCGAAAAACGTAGCGATTGAGATTAGCGCGGACATTACAAAATGTTTCCATCTGCCGAATAGTCGGGCCGCCCAGTCTCCTAAAGGGTTGCTAACCCCGGAATCTTCTGCCATTTGTTCAGACAGGGTACGGAGGCCGGCCAACGCTTTGCTCACTGAGCCGTCTGGAGCCGTGTTGTTGGGGATGAACGTGCAGCATTGCTCGCCGAACATAGAGCATACCTCGCCTTTTTCTGCGAGGAGCATGTCTAACGCCATACGATTCTGGACAGCCATAAGGGAGGTGGCGGACAGTTGTTCGGATAGGCCTTCTATCGCATCGCGGGTTAGGTTGGACAATTTCTGAACGTTGTAATGGACATAGTTAATTCGATCGACGTTCTTGGTCGGGGTAACCGGGAATATGGCAGACCATAAGGGTATATTTTCGAAGCCGGCCGCTATGTTATCAGCTAACTTGTACCTGTCTGGCACACCGCGGGGGATTCCTATAGCGTCCATATACACGGTGGAGTCTGTGCTTAGATCCCACTGGTCGGTAGCCTCGCGGCGGTGCCTGGCTGGGGCAGTTGCGTTCCTAAGAAATCCGGTCATTGTGATAGGTACTCGGAGTCTAACGGGGGCGCAGAGGCCTTCCCAGTTTTCGGGAAGTCGGGGATACAATCTTTTTCCACATAGCAGGAAAATGTCGGCTCTCGCAAATCTGAAACTAGCCGTTTGGAGTTGTTTGGGCCATGTGTTTAGGTCGGTAACGTTAATACACCAGTCGCTAAGCAATGCTCCTACTTGAACAGTGCCATTGCTTTTGTAGCAATAGTACTTGTCTTCTACTATTTCGAAACGCGGCGGGCGGGTGTCATTGTTACTGGGCGGGAATAGTTCGGTCAGCCGGGAACAATTTGCAGGGTTTGCTTCTCTAAATATTTGTTCTAAACACTTAGTACCGGGTTCGTTGATTGGTAACACCATGGGGTTTGTAGTTAACACGGGGCGGGCGGCGGTGCAGGCAATGCAGTCGCCCATTCCTGCCTCCTTAGTGGAGAGCACTAGCCAGACGAGCCATAGATTATTTACCCCGCCTCCTGAGCTAATGATCATATTTTGTAGAACCGATAGGTCCTTGGGGTTCATGGCGGATACCCCATTGCCCAAACTTCTAATAGCTTGTTCTTTATCTTGTGGGGACGGGGTAGGCGGTGCGGCGGTTGTACCTTGTATTAGATCTCGAGGGGCCCAGGGGTTGACAATAATAACCTTGATTACTGAGACAGGGTCCCAGGCTGCGTAGCGGCTAATTCCTACGGAGAGGTACACAACATTAGGGGCAGAGGGGCACAAAGTGTTT